GAGTTCCTTCTGCTTAAACCTTTTCTAGGAAAGTAACTCTGAAACTAACATTCTACTTTCTGTTCTGTTTATACTTTCATCAGCTGTGTACTTTCTATAAAACCAACCTCCTCTGCTCCATCAGAACACTCATTCTGTCTTTTAAAATGTTGTTTGGACCAATTCTACAGTCACAAATAAAGGCTAATTGAGACCTTTAAACTAACTTTTTTGTAATTTTGCTTTTGACTGTGCAGCATGATTTGGGAGCTTTGTTCCTGCAACTTTTCATGGCCGTGTTATGCTATGTTTCCTCAATGCCCTTCAGCCATTGCCCCGGATCAAATGTAATCCATAAGATGGAGACAAGTTCAGTGCCCTGCAACAGAATCACCCAGCTGAGTCCTGCCTTTATCAGCCAGATCATTGTTAACATGAACGTCCACAAACATGGAAAGAAATGCTTAGTACTATAAGCTACTCAGTTTTGAGTGGTTAGTTACCAATCATTATTATGCAAAAGCTGACCAATTCAATATTACACATCCATTCATAAAGATAGATGTATTTTATCAAAATTGATAGCATAAATAGGAATATTTAAAAATTCATTGCTAAAGATATTAAGAAATGACTAAAGAAGAAATGAAAATTGAATATTTGAATCAAAACAGTGAAATTAATCACACATAAATATGTTCATATATGTATATACCATACATATCAGTGCATAATTCAACGTTATTGCCTGCACATACATATGTAGATATGTATGCATATCTAAGTAAGGTTATTTAAATACTTATGTATATACAAATGCAAACTATGCATTAAAAAATCATTATATTAATTATATGGTTTAACATGATTCTTTTTTCTCTCACTATTATATTAATTATATGGTTTTACATGATTCTTTTTTCTCTCACTTTCCATGAAAAAATTGGTGACCAGGAACAGATGTAGTACCTTCTCTTGCTTCAGAAATTTTCTTTGTAATCTTTGTTTCTAAAATGCTCACCAAATGAGTATTTTAACCTTAAATATTTTTCTAACTCAGTGGTGATACAAGACTATGAATGAAATTATTTTGCCTAATGTTAAGAATTAAATCATTGCATCTTATGAAAGTCCCCATCATATGTATGTCCCCAATGATGCTATGCTGGATGGAGCTCTCCTAACAGTGGATGTTGAATTGATGTCACATCACTGCCATAATCAGGGATGACCTGGAACAATGAAAATTACAAGAGTGGATAACGTCCAAGAGTTACATCTGATGGTCACTTTACAAACAGAGATAGATAATTCAATGACATTGACTATTGGTTTTCACAGATTNAAAACTTAATTAAATCATAAAGGAAACAAAACAGTGAGAAATTGCATGAAATACATAAAAAATTTTTGAGAAACAAATAAAAAGCCTTTGCTGACCAAACAAACAAAAACAAAAGGAAACAACAACAACAACAAAAATTAAATTCGCATGTGGCATTATTTTCTTTAACATAAAACTTTTACACTCAAAATCTGTCCAGAAGTCAGCATCATCAACATCACTGTGAACTTGTTACAGATCAAAGCAGCAGACCCAACTAAGACCTAGTGAAGGAGAATTTACACTGTAACAAGATAACAGATGTTTTATCAAAGGTGTAAGAAGCTATGTTTTAGGGGATATTTACTTCAGTGAAAGAGTTTTTGTTGTTTTAGGTTCGTTTGTTTATTTTTCCCAAACAGGCCATTTAAAAAATGTCTTAAAAGCCACATGTTGGAAATGCTCAAATAAATGCAAAATTACATTAAAAACATATTTAATATTTAAAGGATGAAAACATAATTATTTGTCCATGAAATGATCAAATACCTTGATAAATAAATGGAATAAATGTGTTTAGAAACTATAGGTATTACTGAGATGAATAAAAACATTTCAGATTTGTGCACCTGTGTTAGATATTATCAGACCTAATTTTTCTTTTGTTAAAATTCTTAGGAGGTCATTGGTTTGGACTGAGCTCCTGCATGAGGCTCAGCAAATCAAACCAAAATGTAGTTCCTCATGCTATAGTCCCACATACCAAACTCAAACTAAGTAGTTTACCTATTCTTTATTATAATGGAGTTCCTTCTGCTTAAACCTTTTCTAGGAAAGTAACTCTGAAACTAACAATCTACTTTCTGTTCTCTGTTTATACTTTCATCAGCTGTGTATTTTCTGTAAAACCAACCTCCTCTGCTTCATCAGAACACTCATTCTGTCTTTTAAAATGTTGTTTGGACCAATTATACAGTCACAAATAAAGGCTAATTGAGACCTTTAAACTAAATTTGTTGTAATTTTTCTTTTGACTGTGCAGCATGATTTGGGAGCTTTGTTCCTGCAACTTTTCATGGCAGTGTTATGCTATGTTTCCTCAATGCCCTTCAGCCATTGCCCCAGATCAAATGTAATCCATAAGATGGAGACAAGTTCAGTGCCCTGCAACAGAATCACCCAGCTGAGTCCTGCCTTTATCAGCCAGATCATTGTTAACATGAACGTCCACAAACATGGAAAGAAATGCTTAGTACTTATAAGCCACTCAGTTTTGAGTGGTTAGTTACCAATCATTATTATGCAAAAGCTGACCAATTCAATATT